ACTACTTATCGCCACATCGATCAGGACCCCAGCTTAAAACTAGTCGCTCGAATCAGCATAACATTTACGAAACTGTCAACAACAAATAAAATCACTAACCAAGTACGAATGATGATAGAAGTCGACAGTACCAACGTTGCACAATGCTTGGGGCTACCTAAAGTAAACAAAGACAGGGCTCCGCTTCGACGAGTCGTCTGACTTCCAAGAACAGCGTCGTACAACCCAGCAAAGAACCTCTAGGGGAATTAAAACCCCACGTCAGCGGATCTGAACAAAGCATTAAAAAATGCTAAACAGTGCCTTGATAAACTGCAGGGTGTCCATATAGAGAACGAGGACATAATGCTGTCATTCGGTGTCACTGCTCTCTTCATATCGGCCAACCACGAACATGCATGGAGACCATGCTGAAATTACTCCGGTGTCAATTGTGCATAACAGGAAATCTGAAACCATAAAGTGTGTGGGAACTGTTGGACCTATGCTAGGTTACTTATATTTTCTGTGATAGGCAGATAGATCAACAGCTGAATGGAGCGCCCCTGGGTCCCCCATATCAGGGCTCATTGCCGAAGCTGTAATGCAAACAATGGGGCGAGTTAGCATAACACTGATCAACGCAAAGCTGTCGATTCGATACATCGACGATACATTTGTCATGGTGAAAGAAAATTCTGTACAGCGTACACACGATTTGATCAAAGACACATTCGAGGACATCAAGTTCATCATTGAATTGAAGAAAAATAACAAATTGCCATTCCTCAGTGTTTTGGTCCACAGAGAAATAGATGAAACAATTCAAACGTATGCATATCGGAAGAAGACACGCGCGAATCAAATATGGTAGTCCCACAGTAACCACCAGATGAACCACCAAAAGAGCTTTACCCAAACTCCATTCAAGTGACGTCAAACATACTGCAGCACAATGAAACTGAAAAAGATGGAAGTGAACCACCTACACCCTGGGTTACAAAACAATCGATATCCACTACCATGCGGTCTTTGTCCGCTGGATGGATTGTAACATTTTCTTCTCTGTAGCTATCTAATCGCTTCCTATTTTTCATTGGAAACAGCTTGTGTTACTTTGTTTCGGGAGATCATTGGAACATTTTTTTGGCGAATTTGCTGCTGAGCTTCTTCTGACAGTCCACTTGTCTTCAAAACATACTCCAGGTAAGCCAAGTACACCTTGTGGGAAATATCCGACGCTAAGGGAGCGTCTTTTGATTAACATGTGCTTTTAAACTGTGCTGTGGGCGGTGCGATAAATTTCTGATCTGCATTTTACGCTTTATATGATTACTTTTTGGTGAATTTGTTTAAATTGGCGCTTAACGCTGATTTACGTCTGTTTCGCATGTTGCACACTCGATGCTGGATTGCGGATTCTAGCTCAGCCAATTTTTCGGGACCCGTGGTAATGAGACAGTTAGATCTATTTTCTATTATGACTTTTCCTACTTGTGAAGGTGATTGTGGGCGTTCGTTACCATCAGTTTGACCATCTGCTTCTCATACTGCCTGGTTAAACCTCAAACATCCGGAAGACCAAACGCCGGTCTGTGATTCGTAATTGATGGGAGAACAGTTCTCTTCACATAGTGACCATAACGGAGAAATAAACCATAACGTTTACCTACACAAGCACGGTTCCGAACTACCAACACAATTACCTCAATACAGAAACAAGGTAACAGAGGGACAAAGTCCAATAAAGCAGTCAAACCCATGTAATCTACCATATAAAGTGAAGTGAATCTGATAAGCACTACATCGGACAAACGGGAAGGAAGCTTTCCTGCTGGAGTACAGAGCTTCAGATGACTATATGAAGGCATGATCCCCATTTCATTGGTTTCGATACACGAGGATGAAGCTGGTCATCAATTTGACCTGGAAAACATAAAGATTCGAGCACATGGGAGTACGAAGCAGACAAGAGAATTCTTAGAAGCACGGCACTCTATGAAGAATCCAATCAATCGTTTCGTTGATTTGGACGCCATCTACGCAAATCTATGAGCAAAGGACAACCAACACAGTCGAATGACCTTAATGGAAAAGGACACCATACAAATGGTCCAGGCACCGTTATCAGCTGCGGAGCTAAAAGGGCTAGATCACGAGGTATGGGTGGGTGTAGGTGGCCCTTTGCAAAGGTCACATGCCCGAACAACCGATGACGATGGCCTATAAAAACACACGTGCGTGACTACCCGGTTCACACTTAAGTATCGCTACACTACCCTACACTAAGGCATTGATGATGTCACCACGACCGATGACGAAACGTTTGTAAGAAACTCCGAAGCTCAGAAAACAGTTCATCTAACAAATGAAGAACCTTAGCTACATTTAGTTCCATATCAGACCTCCACCTCTAGCTAACCCGTATTATGAATGATATCAAAGCCGCATCCGTTTTAGCGAAAAGGATGGATCCATATATCGACGCTAGAGCTGTCGAATTCCTACTGTCAAAGAAGCTAACAGACAACTACCAGCATGGCCTCTTACATGCTTCGT